CGCAAGAGACGTGCATGTATATAGTTTTTTCTTGCTCTATATTTAGCTGGATCATGGAAAGAAGTGTTAATAGCTAAATACATTTATTTCTGATTCAAAACGGTCTGTCAATTACGCTACACTGTTATCTTATTTGTAATAATCTCACTGTACTTTATAAATCTGAGGAAGTGTCCGACAGTCACCTTCTGGCCGAGGCGGCTACTGACGGAACCGCCTTTGTGACTGTCATTTACATACTGTCATCAAGAGAGTTCAATTATAGCGATACGTGTAAACTAACCACCTTTTTGAGTCAACGGTTTAGTCAGCCAGTAGTATAAAAAAATAAATAAATAATAAAAATCAGCAAATCAGTCAGTGGGGTTAGACTTGTGCCACATTGCAGCAGACAGCTTGGATAACGACTGCGCTTAACTTAATTATACCACGAACAATCTGCTTTTTACAGAGGAAGTTCGCACTGAGGGGTTTCCGCGGTGTGCAAAAATTTATAGCTCTTACATCCCCAAAAACTAGGTAGCTCATCTTTGGAGTCCTAATCGTTCTAATGAGGATCTAATTACATTGATGAATATGATCGTATCTTCAGCTTGAAATTAATAATAACTTCAAGTAAGAGTCATTGTGACGTAAACAGTATTACACCCTGATTCATAGAATTACAACAAAAAGTAAAAGAAACGAACTATGCCTGGCTCCGTGCCGTTCTAAATTTAACGGTCCGACTAGAGATGGTGCTCTCTGTGGAGACAACCGGTTATAATGCCTACTTTCGTCAGGTGGCTTAATGGCACCGTTATGCTGAATAGTATATGATATAGCTTACGACCGCGGACGAAAATGGTAAAACAAATAATGAGGTCCCACTGACAAATTTGCTCAGCTAAAATTTGTGCCTGCCTTTAATTGTAGGCCTCAGCTTGGAAGGTGATCTTGCGATATTCAACAACGACATCCTGAACTGTAAAGAACCCGTAAAACACAAGAGATCTCGATGCATGTACTAGAATGGGTTTTGTAGAAGGAAATACGGGTGTGTTTATATGTAAAAAATCTATCAAATAACGTCGAATATAAAAAAAATGTAACGGCTTTAGGGTATATTTTGTTTTTGTTTGGATCACGATACATGTATCTGACGCTATTGATGCTGACTTAACAATTATTGTACTTAGCCCTTTTGTATTTTGGACAAAAACACGTCCTAAAATGTTTCTTTAGTCGTTCCTAAAGCTTCTACAAAGGCAACTATAGCTTTTGCAGAAATATATTTGCGCTGCCTGCAATTTCCCGGCTTCCATTACGTCCGAATGTTTTTGAATCAGGCCTGAGGCTCATCGCGTTTAATGTACTCTTGTACATACCTACAATTGACGCCCTGTTTTCTATATTATTTCTAATATGATTTCCAACGCTGTTCCTGACGGGAGTGTCCGATCCTAAACACATCATGAACAAAACTAGTAGGTATGCATCCGGAAAATTAGCAATTCCAATGAACTAGTTCAAATAGAACTATAAAAAAATACAAATACTATACAGCTAGGATATATTATGTATATAAATTTTCAGTAACAGTGAAGAAAGAGCATTGTATAAATCAAGTTTCAAATTAGTTGTTCAGATTAGTATTATAAATAAATTTAAAGGTATTATCATTTTTTGTAGGCGGGTCAGTATAAAATTGGCTTCCATATATTATGTGACTCTGGAAATGCTTCTTGTTTCAGGCCCAGAGCGGCGTTATCATCGTATTAAAACACCCCGTTACCCCCCGTCCGTCTTCGTCACTATTCGCTCTAACAAGCTATATGGGAATAATCATCGATTACTATTCTATCAGGCCTATGACCTAAAAAAAACAGACATAATTTATCATCTTTAAGCTATCTCATCTGTTCACCAAGTAGTCACCTGCTTGAGCAATGTTGTGCGTCTCGTGCTCCATAGAGTCTACATGCTTGTACGCGTGTATTTAGGGAAAATTTATCTTACCTTTACTTTTAATACAAGTTCGTCACTGGACTTTAACACACTGTATTGTATCGCCTGTGTGCGAATAAACCCGTGGTCATCTGAAACGTTTAGCTAAGGATAGTTATGGACGTTTATCTTACTTAGAGTTTCTCCATTTCAGTTTTATATACACAAATATAATATCACATAGTTCTACTTGTACACTACATGTGCAAATAATGAGCAATGTCAAATGTTCGATGCTTTGCTCTCTGTTATTACATTAAATATTTACACCAAGTGTGTTAGAGGTTTATGATTAACCTCAAAAGAAAAGCCAACATAGAAAAATAGTACCAAAAGAATCCATTAATTGGCGCTCTTTCTTATAGTGTATTTTTTTTACCACGATCCTAGCGAGACAGTGATCAATGAAGAGGTGGCCATGCGAACCCGAAGTTGATTTTGGCTATCATTGGCTTCGTTCAAGTGCTACATATATAGGCCGATTGGAGAAGCTGAGTAAAAAAGGAGGTTGGTTTCTACCATGTGCTTTGCGGTCACTTGATGGTTATAGCGATTTTCTGTTCTACACACATGCACAAGATCCAGCGTATTGAATGCCTTGAAGGCTGTCTGCATGATATTATGTACAAATGTATACATTCTCAATCATACACACCCATGCATGGATTGCGCAAACCTACAGCCACTGACTTAGGGTGCTCAAATGATGAGACTGTTCAAATCCACATTGTTTGTTAGTGGAAAATGGTTTGAGACAAATTGTGATAGGCTGGCAGAATAGGTTGCTTTCAATGTGTTTCATTTGTAGCAATCATTGTGAGCAGGTTTATACACATTGCAGAAACATCACTGAGGTGAGAAGTGAAAGCCTATCTGTGTTGAGGCGTTAATTGTCTTCTAACCTCCGAACATAGCGTATCACAGTTCTCTATTAATTGTGAATGCAAATGTGATTAACTGATGGAGGAATTGGTTTCAAGTTGAGAAGTACTCGCGAATGAGTTTTTTTTACGTCTCACGCTATTCCTATTAGATAAATAAATCTTCAGAATTATCACTTTGGTAAAACATCAAGAGCCTGCTTCTACTAGAACGCTCGGTTAGGGCAGATCTCTCTGGACTTTCCTCCAGTGTTTCTGACAGACCTATAATATCAATATGCCATTGTAACCATTTGCTAGTGCTGAAATTTAAACAAGAAATCGCCGTATATTTATAGTTGCCATGGCAAGAATGAGGTTTCCTCTATACAGGTGCTATGTGACTGCGGAAACAAGCACATCTCAAGTTGTTGCTAATGCAAATGGTATACCAGCTTCAATGTAGAGTACCATTAGGCTCATAAAATATCTACTGCTTATGATCCAGCAGCCTTACAGGGTATAGAATCGCCAGTAGCTGACGCGTTTCTAAAATGTCTGTCACTAAGCCGAATAATCAACAAAAACGCTAACTTAGTTAATGTAACAGCTGTACCGATCACCTCGCGATAACGCACTATATAGAGAGGGGTTATCGTCTTTCGTTGTAAGGTATAAAGGTTATGTAGGAGATTACAGAAGAATGGTGACAAACATTTTGATCTATTACTGCCATCACACAAAAATCCACAAACAGTCACTGTTACCCATCGACAGTGTAGGAAGGACTTGTTTTATTTATAGACAATCAATTATTTGTTGACTCATTATCTCTGTGCAAGTTAGATTATTTCACAGTTGCGCAAGGTTTTGGCGGTGAGTCTGTTTCCCTGTCATCTCCCATCTCAGTACCCGATTACAAATATCGTACAATCAAACAAAATTAGCGCATATATGGACGTACATCTTGAAGTGATTTAGCCATTGCAATTGCCATTCAAAGGTGGCTAGTGAAAGGAAAATAAAACAAAAAAAAACTAACGGGAAATAGAACTGCGCCGCAGTGGTCCGTGAGGAATGGCCAAAACTTCCACGGCTTTTCTTACAGCTATTTGTCACATATATAGTACTCACACACGTAGTGCATTCGTACTGAAACAACTAGATCGTGACTATGATAATGATTCAACAATGGCCCGATCACCAAAATCGCCTGGTCTTTGCTAAAGAAATTACTTTGGCAGAAGCGGCTATATATAAACGCAAAGTGAAAAAGGACATTTTTTCAGACGTGTCACCTAAAAAAATAGTTTGGACAGAGGCAAAATCCTTTCAAGTTTTCGCGTACTTTTACTAACGTGAAAACCTTCATTGAGCAGTTCAGTCTTACTCTGTTCGCTGCTGGGCAACCCAAACAGTATTTTATCATATAAAGCCCACAGTGGTTTTTGGCTTTGATATCGTGCAAGACCCTAATGCATGCATTTGACGTTGCATGTAAATTCACGTTGGTATCTGTTTTCATACATTTAGTAGATACCCATTTAACAATGATCACCCGTTCACCCGAAGGGGAGTCAAACAAATGTCCGCTATTCATTTCTAGTTTTAACTCATGTAACGATAAGAATGAAAGTCTTAACACCTTGTTCCTGGCATATTGTTCTAAGATGTACATACAGCTTTGACGCATTTATCCGTGTTTTGATAGGTAAAGTATCGGCGCACCGCACATAGCTAAGATAGCAGAGGTAAGGGTTCCCAAGATGTGATAGGAACGCCTGCATTTTCGGATAAATAGCCATTACTAGGACAATCGATTAGGAGAACTGGAACTGTCTTGCAAGGAACAAACGAAATTAAAATTAATGAGATGAGATCCTTACTCGTAACATGGAATGCAGCAATAACGGTAATAATTACAGAATTTGGGTCGCTACGTTTCTAATTTCGATTTGTAAATGCGTTTGTTGATATTGTGATAAATCAATTCAGTACTTTTGTTTAAATACTTTTGCTCTGAATAAGCCTAGGCGAGGCTATCAACTGCAACATAGTATTTAATTTTGTATGCAATTTTAGTTGACAGACTATATTTTTTGCTCTAAAAAAATAAAAGCGAGTGACAACAGAGCCATGAAAATAAAATACTAGGTTTCTATGGCAGTATAAATGACTGTTTACTTCTTATTACCTATATCAAGCAAATCATTTTCTATATACACCATGGAACACAATGAGTATTAGCGCTGACTTTTATTTGAAAACGTGTATAAGCACCGCAATCTAGTTACATGTCCATTGATTCGGTTCAATGTACCCTTTGGATAAAAGAAGTCTATTGCGCACATGCGAGGACAATGAATCATTTGTTAAAGGGATCGTACACATAGGTACATGCACCACTTAAGCAGCAATAGTAGTATCGGTACTAGTGCCACAAAAGTGATATTGGCATTCGGATAATCGACTATACTATACGTATGCTGTCTGGTCAAATACCAGAATTTTCCGTGAGACACAAGCTGCTACTTTTCAATCAAAAGCCCCAGCGTGTTCTGCGCCTCTTCGCAGAACAACAGCGCCGCTACATTCACAAACAGGGCTTAGAGAGAAGATTATATCAACGACGAAAACAAGCGAGGAAGTCGCCACAGATACCCCTATAAAAGCGTTAAGAGCATACACCTACATCACATCATCGTCACTAGTAGGCGAGGAAGCGCAAAAAACAGGAGAAAAAGAAATTCACTTGGAGAGCAAGGAAAGGCTCAAGCAAACATTACGATGAACACTGTTGGTTTGATAGTACTTGCTTGTTGCGTCACTCTTATAGAATGTGCTATGCTCAGAACAAGCGTGCTACTCCGTAAGTACATACAAACACATAGTATACATATGTATATTGATTAAAAAGGTGCATGTGTACATAAATGTGTAAAAAGCTTATGTGAGCTATTTGCGATTATACATTCATAAGGGAGTAGCCACAATCGCACCTTGCCATCATCCACAGTTCTTTCAGATCAGTAAGTGATGCTAAGGATATCTTTTCATATTGTGATCCATCTTAGCTATATTAAGCGCATGCATTTACGATATGCTAACGAAGAATAAGCAACTTACTCACCAGGTAGATCCGAGTGGAGCTATGACGACTAGGGTACCCTCATACAAGGCGGCAGAGCAATGAAGTCCTATCAGTTTGTTGGAATAATACCGGGTAAAATATTATGGAAATAAGCTGTAACTATTACTCTCGTTGTAAATGTGTTTGACAAGGCTCGGATGAACCTTGTTTGCTACGTTCTTTGTGACTACAGCGTTTTAAGTTCAGGATATTCGGTTTGACATCACGACTGAAAAACGATGATAGGCCATGCATCTTCGTGGTCATCGTGTCATTAGGGTGAGAATTTTTGTGGGACCAGTGAACTGCTGGGGTACTTCATGAAAGAGACAAACAATGCGGACAGCCTAACAAACTAAGCTAAATTTTTCAGGCTTCAATATTTAGTTTGTAATCAGCAAGATAAAGAACGCCCAGTTTGGGACTAGGTCGAACTTGAGACACCATGCATATAGCTCAAATATATTGATGGGTTAATTGTGGGTATAAAAGTGTAGAATCCTTTCAGTGAATGAGCTGATTGAATTTATTTTTCAGCTCTTGATCAACTCAACGGCACCGTTACAGAGCCATCTCCCCCTCTTCTGGGTTCCACTATTCCGGGGGCTCCTGGGCTCTCCAGGCCAGACGCTACTGATACTCAGAATGCGCAACAGAAGTTAAACCTTACTAGTAAGCATCAGATAGCCCGACCGCTGACGGATATTCATCAACATGACCATCAGATAATGAGCACATCCAAACCCACATTTGTGAGATCGGATGCTAAAAATGCCGCAAATCAGGGACACAGGGACCATGTACCCATATTCATGCTATCGGACGTTGAGAAGTTCGGAAACCTAAAAGCGATCGTGGACAGTCATCCCTATGATCGGATATAGGAGAGCCCGAAAATCAAAGGAGCACGATCTCGTTAACCATGAAAATAATAATAGAATAGGCCAAAACAGCCACAAAGGTCTAGGGCGCCAATATACCCAAGTAAACGAAAAAGGTGTATACCGAAGATTTTACCGTAGAGGAAATTCCCGAGACAACATTTGGTTCGATCGAATAACTGAATACTTATGCGTCCGCTGAAGATCCAATAAAATTTATAACGAAATCGAAATAATAAAGCTGTCTTTATTTAGGCTTTATAAATATATATGTATTTGAGGTTAATATATACCAATTAAACAAGGCTACGTAGAAATCAAACTTGACGGAATTTGATCCAAGATCGGTTAGCACCCGAACTGCGTATGGTTTTTTTTATGTGAAGGCTTCTACTGGTGACGCACGTAACAATACTGTCGCTATAAAAAATAAATTGTGAGATGTTCGTGATCTTCTGTCCGGGCTTGATTCGCCTTTTGGCTTAACGCCACACTTGTTCAATCGCATTGAAATCGGATGAATTTACATGTCACTGCGAAATCCCAATACGGTTAGCAATCCATACTTACACTTGACTATATGACATAGTGACTTGTCAGGCATAAACACATAGTTCCTATTCGCATACCATACTCCTACCTGAGGTAACATCTTCCTTTTAAATTATTTTACTGTATTGCTGTTTCTATGCCCCTGCTAACGATTTACCCGAAAAATAGACCCTTTCCCTGTATTCCTTTCCCCACCCTTTCCCTATCCAACTTTGGCATTGAAACGCGTGTCTACTGAGCATACGTTAGCTGAAACTTTTAAATTAGTTTACGACAGCTAAAACCGCTTATTCCAATACGACGTCGGACGCCCTAGAAAACCGCGAAAAATCGGTCTTTTTGTAGCTTCTAACTGGGTTGTGCAGCGTTTTTGATTTTTGTTCCATTTCTTTTTGATGACAGAGGAACTTTTTACCTTCTGGGCTATATTGTCAATTACACACTTTGGCATTTTGGCCCACTCAATACATTCTCTCCACGATGGTCTGCTGCTCTTTCGCGGGGTCCTTTGTAATCCCAACACGAATATGATCACATACGCACGAAAAACATAAGACTCGCTTCAAAAAAAGCAGTCATTACAACAATGTCAATTGTATGTATTTTACCTAAATTGGATACCTAAATTGTGCATAGCGGCTATGCATAGGATCAGAAAAATTTTTAAATTTTAAGAAACTTAAAAAACGCATGCATTTGTGTGCAGATTTAATATACCTATACGTTCTACGTACTTTATATATATATATGGACTAATGATATATCGCTTAGCAACTAAGGCTTTTATACTCTAACCGTGCAGACACCTGCTTATTGTTCAACAACACCGTACCGCTCGGCCACTGCTACCAGTCATCCTTCTTCCATGAGGCATTTGCGTGTTCCCTGTGCAGCTAAGCGCTTTGCAATGGCCAGTGATGTTGCCGTTCTGCAGTGTTTCTCGGCTGACCCTTTCTCTAGTGGTTAAACAATCTCGCCACGTTTATACAACGGTTCTAATGCCCTTGCTTTCATCCATGCACCTACTCTTCGTGGGGTTTCAACGATCAAAATCTGGCGACTTCGTGGGTATTATATATGGCTGCTTCTTCTCCCTGCATGTCTGACCTTCCTCGTCAGCCACGCCTCCTTCCGTCGACTCAAACTCTTTGCGATCGAACCCTGCCTTGCATCGTTTGCTTCATCGTTAGTGACAACGTGGACCATAACCCAACGTCGCTACCGGTACTAAAGCCTTGTTCGTGCGGCAAAATGGCCCCGTACAAGCCTGTCTCTCAATGAACATATGATTGCTGAAGTGTTCCCAGCGCCGGCCGGCTCCCAGGTCTTGTGCTTTGTTAGCTGCCTACAACCTGTGAAAGGCTAGGCTGTTGGCCGGAGACTAACAATATCCGCAAACTAGAGCTTATATCCCTGAGCTGCGTCCGAGCTAGCAAGTTTTCGTTATTTACATGCTTGATCGTAACATATATATATGCCTTAACTTTTAAATAACTTAACTAAGGTTTACCTATAAACATTTCACTGGACTTCAAAAGGTCAAAGCAGATCATTCCTTTCCTATCATACCAATTACTTAGACAATTTTTTCCATTAATATTTAGCTTTGCGTAAAATTCGACTTATTGTCTAATGCAAAATGATAATGGGTCACTCTTGGGACAAAAAGTTGAACAGCCTTTTTTTAGATATCAGGTAAACAACGAAGGCAAGAAATACCTCTTCTTGAAGCGACTAGTAGAATCAGTACAGGACAAATAATATTATGCCTGCTGATTGCAAATCGTTCAGTTCTTAGAGAATTAATTTTTCTCATCTGTCTCACAAACGCAGACAATGCGAAACTGCTTGTTGACCAGCTCAACTATTCCTGCTAAATCTGAACAAAAGTTTGTAATACAACAACATCCGTCTCAGCGCATCCAGGTTTATAGATCATAATGATCTGAGAGGTCCTTATTACATGTTACAACATATTACACAGCGTAGGATATCCTTTACGAAATCAGTTGTAACACGTACTGAATTATCAATGAGTTCTTGAATTTCTGTTGGTTACAATCTAATGGTTATATTACATATATGTGAAATTAAGTGTGGTTTTTAGAAATACATGCTGGTAACTTGTTTTCCGATTCACACATATATA